TAATGGTCAGCATTTTCTTCCTTGTTCAATTCCATTAAATTTGCCTGTGGTATATAGGACAGAAAAACACACACACGGACAGACTAAACTCAGACTATAACGAAAATAAGGAAAAAATATTTAAAAATTAATCCTTTTCTTTATCATCAATCATTTAATTATGCCACAGCCAAATTTAATGCAACTGAACAAGGAAGAAAATGCTGACAATTATGTCATGTCAAGGGAGGAAAAAAGTAATGAAAAGAACGATTCCCAACCTAATTTCATCTAGAGCTGTTGTTCCTTTCTTAAATAAATAGGGACGTGTTTTTCCAATACAAACAAGAAAGTCGCTGACAGGTCCAAATTTATCTAAAACCAATGGAATTGATTTATCTATCGCTGTCTTCCACTGAAAAAATAAATGGATAAGTTACCTAATTCAAACTATATTTAACCTTCTTCTTAAGTTGATCAGTCAAATTAAATTCAGAAACTCCAAACTCAAGTGCAATGAATTTATATGACGGTAACCAACGAATAAAACCATGATCAATCCAAAATTAATTTAAATTTAAAAAATATTAAATATTTACTATTGCAATTTTTCTGAATTTCATTCGTGCCAATTCTCCCTCATATTTATTAATTAAATTGCAAAAGTAAAAGTTGGTTTGTTTAATAGAGAATAATTGGTTGAAATCCAGATATTTTAATACATCAAGCTGAACTTCAGGTGGGAGAGAAAACATTTTAATTTTATCTAGAAAAGCTTATTAGCCAAAAAGATGAAAAACAATTAAATATCCAATATGTTAATTACCAAATAACAAAAATTTCAATTAGATACAACTTTATTGACCCAGACACTGAACGTAATATTAAAAAAGTAGAAGAAATGTGGGGTAATGCAATATGGAGGAATAAGAAGCAAAGTGAACACCATGCTTCACTTTATGAGTTATTTTGCTGAATTTATGTGCTTGGTGAAGGAGGAGACGTTTTTGAAGAAATTATGCTTGCTTAAGGTAAATATTCGTCATTTGCCTTACTGCTCGTCGAGATGAGTCAAATGACACCATAATCAACGAAATCAGACTTCATTTAACAAAGTTATGACCGTTTGTTTTGACTAGAGTTCAGCGGTATCGGGATTTCGAGAAAAACCCGGGATCGGGATTTAGGAATGGTGATCCCGATCCCGATCCCGGATCCCGACACGGGATCGGGATTAGCCGAAATCGGGATCGGGATTTGGACTGGAGATCCCGATCCCGATCCCGAATCGGGACCGAGATTAGAAAATCGGGATCGGGATTTACTAAAAAAAATTTCTTTTAATTTTTAAATTTTTATTTTCTTCACATACGACTCATTATAATTCTAAAATTGCACTGCGGTGCTGAAATATTGAGTTTAAGTCTCATAGACGCATAATTTACTTTCCGGCTCAAGGGATTAAGGGGGCTTTTGTTCTCAAGGATTTTTTTATCTTAAAGTATCGTAGTCACACTAGTCTTAAATTAAGTGAAAGAGCAGAGAAGGCTGAAATTAAACAATTATATTTCGCAAAATCTACAAATTATCAAATTGCCAATATTCATAATTCAAAAGTGAAATTCACAGTTTGCAATGAAGAATGGGAAAATTTTGATGTTCGAATCAAAATAACGAAAGAGTAGAATTTTATTAACGAAAAATTTGATTTATTTCATAATTAAATATTTTAAAAATGTTGATTTCATTAAAATTTTCAATAAAATTATTTTTTATATTCGGGGTCAAAACAAACGGTCATAACTTTGTCAAATGAAGTCTGATTTCGTTGATTATGGTGTCATTTGACTCATCTCGACGAGCAGTAAGGCAATTTGTTGATTTTGGTGTCATTCGACACAGCTCGATGGGTACTACAATTGTTGTTCAGACTGACCATTTTTACATAATTTTCGGAAAGACTGACTGGGGGTGGGAAACTAAATAAGTACCTAAGGCAAATGACCAATATTTACCCCAAGCAAGCATAATTTTTTCAAAAACGTCTCCTCCTTCACCAAGCACATAAATTCAGCAAAATAACTCATAAAATGATGCGTGCTGTTCACTTTGCTCCTTATTCCTCCTTATTGCATTACCCCATTCCTTCTACATTTTTAATATTACGTCCAGTGTCTGGGTCAATAAAGTTGTATCTAATAATTAAGGCTGTGATAGTTAGGCATGTAAAATCAGTGAAATAGGCGCCTAAAATAGGCACCAAAAAGCCAAAAAAGGCACAAAAATAGGCAGGTAAAATGAGCTAACAGACCTTTAAAATTAAAAAATACCCATTTATTCGTCATTTTTTGAATGATAAACTATTTTATTAAAACTTTTTGCAATTTATTCGCCATTTTGCCTCATTTTTTCAAAAAATGTTAAATTTTTAAAAAATATTGATAAATGACAAAAGGGAAATCTCGCCCAACCGACAAAACGTCCAAACACAAAATGTCCCACTACCAAAACGCCTAATCTCAAAATGTCCATCAGAGTAAAAATAATCAATTCGTCTAATTATAAATTAAAAATTGGAGTCGGCACTGATTTTTTTAAATCTGGGACTGATTTTTTTAGATTTTTCACCGGTTTTTAGGCAAAATTTAGGAAAAATCGCTAAAAAAGGCAAAAATAGTACCAAAAATTTCAAAATAGGCAAGAAGGCACAAAAAGTCCAAAATAGGCAGAAATAGGCAAATTAAAAGTCACGCTAGACTCTTCGGACCAAGCTAAAAACACGTTTTTTGAACGTATTACATCATCCCAAGCTTGCAGAAAAAATAGGCATTTGCCTATAAATCACAGCCTTACTAATAATTTAAATCTTTGTTACTTGGTAATTAACATATTGGATATTTAATTGTTTTTCATCTTTTTGGCTAATAAGCTTTTCTAGATAAAATTAAAATGTTTTCTCTCCCACCTGAAGTTCAGCTTGATGTATTAAAATATCTGGATTTCAACCAATTATTCTCTATTAAACAAACCAACTTTTACTTTTGCAATTTAATTAATAAATATGAGGGAGAATTGGCACGAATGAAATTCAGAAAAATTGCAATAGTAAATATTTAATATTTTTTAAATTTAAATTAATTTTGGATTGATCATGGTTTTATTCGTTGGTTACCGTCATATAAATTCATTGCACTTGAGTTTGGAGTTTCTGAATTTAATTTGACTGATCAACTTAAGAAGAAGGTTAAATATAGTTTGAATTAGGTAACTTATCCATTTATTTTTTCAGTGGAAGACAGCGATAGATAAATCAATTCCATTGGTTTTAGATAAATTTGGACCTGTCAGCGACTTTCTTGTTTGTATTGGAAAAACACGTCCCTATTTATTTAAGAAAGGAACAACAGCTCTAGATGAAATTAGGTTGGGAATCGTTCTTTTCATTACTTTTTTCCTCCCTTGACATGACATAATTGTCAGCATTTTCTTCCTTGTTCAGTTGCATTAAATTTGGCTGTGGCATAATTAAATGATTGATGATAAAGAAAAGGATTAATTTTTAAATATTTTTTCCTTATTTTCGTTATAGTCTGAGTTTAGTCTGTCCGTGTGTGTGTTTTTCTGTCCTATATACCACAGGCAAATTTAATGGAATTGAACAAGGAAGAAAATGCTGACCATTATGTTATGTCAAGAAAGGAAAAAAGAAATAAAAAAAGTTGTGAAGAAAAACGATTCCCAACCTAATTTCATATAGGGCCGGAACAAATTATCTCCTAAAATTGCCAAATCTTCCAAAAAATATTGAAGAAATGATCATTGTTCGTTGTTTGTTAGAACAACTATTTAAGTGCGCTTTTGATCGTGCTTATTTCTATACTGGAGTATTTAATCCAGAAATGATTAATATATTATTTGACAACGACAAAACAATTCCTCTCCAATTTAACATTCAAAAATCATGTCTATCTGTTGACAACAAAACATTTGAAGATATTTTAAAATTTTCTTTAAACCATTTATCAATTTCTGAATCTCTTAGCATCATTTTACATATAAATAATCTTGACATTTCAGAGCAATATACAAATATTTTATACAATATTATAATAAATGAAGGCAATAAATTCCCAAAAATTTATTTAAGAAGTTTCAAGTTGACAAAGCTTCATGATCTTATTATAGAAGTAATTTGTTTAAAAATATAAAGATAAAAACAAATTCAAATTTTAGTTTATTACAACATCTAGAGATTGTTCAAAAATGGTGCCTGCTATTATTTTAAACTATACTAATTCTGCAAGTCCTAAATTAAGTGAAAGAGCAGAAAAAATTGAGATTGAACAATTAGCTAATGAAAAACACACAAATTACCAAATTGCCAATATTTACAATCCAGCATTAAGATTTTCATTTTACAATAGAGAAAGGGAGGTTGCATCGACTTTTCGCCATAGAATCACGATAATGAAATTATAAAATTTGACATTACGGAAAATAAAATTTTATTTGATTTGATGTTAAAATATCTTTTAAAATGCATTTTTTGTTTTAAAGAATTTTTTTGCATCTTATTTTTAGTTTATTAAAGTCTGTCAATTTATATTTTGACATTTAAAAATCATTTTAATAAATACAATATAAAAATTGTCTTCCACTATAAATTAATTGAAAAAGCTTCTGCCCTTTGATCGGTAAAACTTCGGTTGGTAAAGGTAACTTTTACCTGTCCCGAAAAAAAGAGGAAGGCAAAATGACCAATATTTACCTCAAGCAAGCATAATTTGTTCAAAAATGTCTCCTCCTTCACAAAGCACATAAATTCAGCAAAATAACTCACAAAGCAATGTCGTGCTGTTCCACATTGCTCCTTCCTTCTACTTTTTTAATATTACGTCCAGTGTCTGGGTCAGTAAAGTTGTATCTAATTTAAAACTTTTGTTACTTGGTAATTACATATTGGATATTTAATTGTTTTCGAATCTTTTTTGGCTAATAAGCTTTTTTAGATAAAATTTAAAATGTTTTCTCTTCCACTTGAAGTTCAGCTTGATATATTGAAATGTCTTGATTTCAACCAATTATTTTCTGTTAAACAAACAAATTTTTACCTTTTCAATTTAATTAATGAATATGAGGGGGAATTGGCACGAAAGAAATTTAATATTCTCTGTCTAGTAAATATTTATTAAATAACTTTTTTTATTTAAATTAATTTTGGATTCATCTTGATCTTCTTCAATATTTACAATCAAATAAATATACAGAACTTCAGACCGGAGTTTTTGAATTTATTTTGACTGATCAACTTAAGAAGAAGGTTAAATTAATTTCTAAATAAATTACATCTATTTTTTCAGTGGAAGACAGCGATAGATAAATCAATTCCGTTGGTTTTAGATAAATTAGGATCTGAAAGCGACTTTCTTGTTTATATTGAGAAAACACCTCACTATTTATTTAACAAGGAAAAAAACTATTTTCTAAAATTGCCAAACATTCCAAAAAATATTGAAGAAATGATTATTGTTCGATGTTGTTAGAACAACTATTTAAGTGCGCTTTTGAACGTGCTTATTTTAAAGTAGGCGTATTTAATCCAGAAATGATTAATATATTATTTGATAACAACAATACTACAATTCCTCTTAACATTCGAGAAGCATGTTTATGGGCTAACAATAAAACATTTGAAAATATTTTGAAATTTTCTTTAAATAATTTATCAATTTCTGAACTTGATATCAATTTGGATAATGTTGACATGACAGAAAAGCATACAAATATTTTATACAATACTATAATCAATGAGGGTAACAAATTCCCAAAAATTCAAATACAAAGTTCCATGTTAATACAGCTTCATGATCTTATAATAGAAGTAAGTTATTACAGAGAAGTTAAAAATAAATTCAAATTTTAGTATATAGCAACATCGAGAGATTGTACAAAAATGGCAACTTTTATTACTTTAATTTTTTTTACTTCCCCAGATTTTGAATTAAGTGAAAGAGCAGAAAAAGTTGAAATTAAACAATTAGCTAATGCAAAAATTACAGACTATCAAATTGCCAATATTTATTCTCCAAAAGTGAGATTCTCATTCTGCAATCAAGAGATGAGCCCTATATTGATTAGTTACGTTCAAATCAGAAAAATGAATGTATAGAATTTGAGGGGATGAAAAAGAAAAGTTTATTTGTTTTATTGGACAACGATATTCTTTAAATATATGTTATTTTTCATTGAATTTCGATAAAATTATTTGAGTTTTACATAATTAATTTTCATCAACTTTTAACGTGTTCAAGCCTGACAATATATTTTAAATATTGCTAATTAAATACATAAGTACTAAGAAGTACGCGCGGGATAATCCAATCGGAAAGTGCGAAACAGTTCGGTTTATAAAATTATTTATATTTAGACAATCTGTACCAATTTCAATTTTCGATCTCATACGACACTGCTAAGATCTCTAGTAATAACAAATATAATGCGATAGTACTATGAACTTTTATTAAAATAAGTCTGCCTAGACCTTATGTTATCAAAAAGACTGACCATTTTTTACATATCTACCGAAAAAAGGCACCCGACACCCTCATCTTCAGTAGTGCCGAGCAATTTCTGGGTAGATCAGAAAATTTTTTTGAATACCTATCAGTGTGGCCTTTTTACCCTAATTATAGAGGATTTTCCCTATTTTAGATCTTTTCGCCCCATTTTTTTCCCTATTTTGTACATTTGCCATATTTTGCCCTATTTTTATAAATTTTTAAAATTTCAAGATGACGACAGTCATCTTGACGTGGTCGTGGTCGACGACCGTGGTCGTGGTCGACGACAGTCATCTTGACGTGATCGTGGTCACGACCGAGGTCGTGGTCGGCGACCGTGGTCGTGGTCGACGACAGTCATCTTGACGTGATCGTGGTCACGACCGAGGTCGTGGTCGGCGACAGTCATCTTGACGTGATCGTGGTCACGACCGAGGTCGTGGTCGGCGACAGTCATCTTGACGTGGTCGTGGTCGACGACCGTGGTCGTGGTCGAAGATGTCGCGTTTCTCAACGCGAAATTATAATTAATTTACAATTATTATTTTATAATTACTCATCCCCTTTACATTCTTCAACGTTTTCCCACAGAATTTCTTTATCTAAAGTTTTTATCTTTAAAAGCATATACTTTTTATTCCCTTTAAAAGACAATCACTTTTTTCCACTAATTGTATTCTTCCATTCAGTGCTTCTTCCTGAACTATTCTTCTCACTTCACTCCCAGCATTCCCATTAATTACTAATTACTATTCACCTTTCCTATAATCACCACACTTTGTAATATAGTTGTTAAATTAAATTAAATTAAAGTAAATAAATTTGTTTAAATTTACTTAGAAGTTTTTCCTTGTCCTTAATTAGCGATTTCCTGAGCCAATCGCTAAAAAGACAGTCATCTTGACGTGGTCATCGACCGTGGTCGTGGTCAACGACAGTCATCTTGACGTGGTCGTGGTCGACGACCGTGGTCGTGGTCGATACAGCTTCATCTTGCTCTGCTCAATTTAGTAAAACTATTTGAAAACATGCGGAATAAAGATTTTTATTCGAAATTTTAATTATTTTTATATTTTTAAAATAATTCCCTATTTTTTGCCCTACTTTTGACCGATTTCGCCCTATTTTTCCCTATTTTTGAGTACCTGCGCCCTATTTTAGGGTTTGGAAAAGGCCACCCTGATACCTATTTTTACTTTTTAAAAATTGATTTTCAAATTTTGTATTTTGATAAACATTTAAAAAAATTCTTTCCAAGTTTTTTCAATGTATTTTTTTGAGATTTCATCAAATTAAAATATTTTTGTTTTCTTTGGCATTCAACCAAAGATTAAAAATACATTTTTCTCAATTTCTCTTTATCATTCAAAAATTAACATTTATATAAAAATTCACTTTGTACAGCAAGAACCGAGGATTTTTCGGTGTAATTATTGAATTACACTCATCAATTTTTAAAAACGACAGCAATTTTTGTAAGTAGGCAATGGGAATTAATAAAACAAATTGACCTTATAAAGAAGAGATGTTCTTCTTACATATACATTGCCATTCATTTTTGTTTTAGATTTCTGAAAATTCAATCATTTTTGTTTAAAATCATTTAAAATGATTTTTAGTCTGTTTTTTATCTAAATATTCAAAATTTGATTTTCAAAAAAAGATCAGCTAATCTTAGTGCTCTTATTAAATTTTGAAAAAGGAGCATCATTACGTACTGCCGTTTTTGGTTAGATCACTTTAATGCAAATTGATGTCTTTAGTAGAGTTGTCGGTTCTGGACCAAACAAACCGAAGAACCGAGGATTTTTCGGTTCGGTTCCGGATATCCTTAGATTTATGAGAATCGACAACCCTATCATTAGCAATTTATTTTAAGCTCATATCTTTGTTTAATTTTTATTTTAATCTTACTTAAAAAATTTAATGCCTGTTAATTTATTTTTAATTATTTTTGAGCACATTAACTAATATAAGCTTTTCTTAGCATTTTTTCAGTTAATCTTAGTGTTTTTATTAAATTTTGAAAAATGTTTTCTCTACCAACTGAGGTTCAACTGGATATCTTTAAATTCCTCAATTATGAAGAATTGTGTTCAATCAAACAAACAAATTTATATTTTCGTGATTTTATTAATAAATATGAAGTGGAACTTGCTCGAGAGAAATTTAACGAAATTTATATTGTAATGATATCTTAATTTAATTTTTAAAAATTAATTTAAGGAGTATCTCAGTCAAATCAAAAATGTTCCTTATAAATTAATTAACTCTGAAAATTTTGACTTTGCTTTCTTTGCTGAGCAACATCAAGAAATAAATGAACAAATTGAACAAATGGTTAAATGAAAAGTAAATACAAAATTTCTATTATTTTTTTAGTGGAGCAATGGGCTACAAGATCCGATTCGTTTGTATTTGGCTGATGGTAAATTAATAGGGGCCAATATTATTATTTGCGTAACTAAAGGTAAGCTATTCTTTCGCCAGGCAATTTGGATGCTGTTCAAAGCTAAGTGATACTTTTCCCTTTTTATTGGTCTTGTACAGCTCCTATTTGCCTTTGGTCTTGAAGTGAATATAAATAATCTAAATAATTAAAGCTCAAGAAATAGAACCTTTGGTTGACAACGATCTCTACACTAGAGGTCGGCGCGGGACGGGATCCCGCGCGGGATTTTGCGGGGTCCCGCTCCCGCAATCCCGCACTTTTTTCGATTTGCGGGATTTTGCGGGATGCGGGATTTTGCGGGATTTTTCCCGCGGGATCCCGTCCCGCAAAGATTTTTTTAAAAAAATCCCGCAAATTTTTCCCGCAAAATTTTTTGACTTTTGCGGGATTTTTGGAAAATGGAGAATTTTTGCTCCTAACCTTCTAAACTCAAAAAATTTTTGCCTGCGGCGCTAGAAAAACAAGAATTTTGGTCGTTGGCCTTCCTAAAATCTCGAAATTTTTGCCTGCGGCGCAGAAAAAGGAGGGAATATGAATACTTGGCCTTCCAAAATTTTCGCCTGCCGCCCATGGAATCATCTTTATTACATCGAAACAAAATTGTCCACATTGTTAGATCAAGATGATTGACCGATCACATTTGTTTCAGCTCAAGCTATTCTAATTCGTATACTCGAATTTTCCGACGAATATGTATAAGTTTGCCCTTTATGTTTTTTTTTGATAATTAGGGACCTGGATAAGTGCTTATCGTTTGTACCAACATGTACTCGTAATTTGGTACGAAGTATGATACAGTTAAGAACCCGTTAAGAACTCGTTAATGATTAGGAAATTGATTTTTTTCAATAGATATTGATAATTTCAACGATTTTTGGAAAATCCCGCAATCCCGCGCGGGATCCCGCAAATTTAAATTGCGGGATTTTGCGGGATGCGGGATTTTGCGGGATTTTTCCCGCGGGATCCCGTCCCGCAAAGATTTTTAAAAAAAATCCCGCATGCGGGTTCCCGCAAACGCGATTTTGCCGACCTCTACTCTACACTATACTATAGTCCTCCACAATACTATACAGCCACCCTATTTTTCGAAATTTTTCCAGCTTAAATATGAATTTGGAAATTTTTACACTTAAATATAATAGACAAGCAGCAAATGGACCGATTATTATGCTTTTTCAGAAATTATTAAGTTTTATTCAGTTATTTTTCACTTTACCTGATAAAATTACCTCCACATAACTATACAGCCACTTGTATTTTTGACCTTAGGAGTGGTCCGAAAAATCTACAAAAATTCCTGTAATCATATCCATTGATATGTATAGAAAATACAAAAGAAATGAAGATCTTATTTACTCCCATCATCGAGATCCTGAAAACCGAAAATCAACTGAAAACCGGGGGTGGACGTCTTTAAAAAATATTTTCGACCCTTTACAGGTAAAATAAAAATTTTATTTTGGACTTATTTAAAAGCCCTTGAAATTTGCTACAAGTTAGTTTTCATCTCATTATCCAGAAAAAATTA